CTCAGCCAGCAAAGCTGGCTGAGGAACTCTGGGAGTTGAAGTCCACAAGTCTTAAAGTTGCCAAGGTTGGAGACCCCTGCACCACAGAATTTGCAACAAATGCAACTAAGGAGTGTTTTAGTTATGACAGCATATTTCTCTAAACATTTTTTTAAAACTTCAGCAAACTTTGGGATTCCACACCTGTGCTATATGCCTCTGTTACATAGCCTCTCTGGCAATGCAAGGATCCAAATTCAGAGAAATGTGCACTATTAATATTACGAGAAAAAGTTGCCATGAGTGCCACAACATGAGTGCCTCCCAAAGCCTTTTCCCTTATGGCTGAAAGGTAGGTAGATTCCATTTGTTTCTTCATGAGTGATGGAATAAAATATAGTCCTCCAATCTCATTTTTCTCTTTGTTCTTCAATTGAGGTTTCTCTGGCATAGCTGCCAGGACTCTATAGTTCCTGATTATGCCTCTGACCCTGTCACACAATAACTATATCATGATTTTATTTAGTCACCTAAGAAAAATGTACTTTGTTGAACTTGGTATAAACAAAAGAACCATACCCCATTGTAATTCTCACTAGTAAAAAGATAAGCCTTTGGCTGGAACTTACCAAATGGAAAAGCTTAAAGAAGTCCACATTTGCATATAAAGAGTCTTCAATTTTTTGCAAGTTCTCCTGGGAAAGGGCACACATTGCACTATGCACAGCCTGAAAGCTACTTGGACTCCGGAAGATAATAAAGCGATTCAGCAAGGTCTGGCTGCAAGCTATATCTTTCAAAGTCAAGTCTGGGACACCAAAGGCAAACTGTGGACAAAGCACAAATTGTTAGTCACCCATTATTTTATTACGATATCATCTAAGAATGCCTTGGGAAGTCTCTGTGGAGGGCAGAGGCATTGTTGGAAATGCACGTTATATTGGAGGCCAATGTGTTCTTTGCAACATAGCAATAGCACTTAGACTTATATACTGCTTTTTAGTGCTTTACAGCCCTCTCTAAGCAGTTCACAGAGTCAGCCTATTGCCCCCAACAATCCGGGTCCTCATTTTACCCACCTCAGAAGGATGGAAGGCTGAGTCAACCTTGAGCCTGGTGGGATTTGAACTGTCAAATTGTAGGCAGCTGGTTGTCAGCAGAAGTAGTTTGCAGCACTGCACTCTAACCACTGTACCACCGAGGCTCTTAACATGCTAGTGTCCCATTTTTTTAAAATTTAACTAAATATTTTAAAATACATAAAAAGGGAGCTTGGAAAGATGAGAAGATTGTGTTGGCAGGGATATGGTCACAATCTGCAGCACAAGCAGGTGAGAGGAGATAGAAGTCCAATCAAGATACATTGTTCAACATTTTACCTGAGGGGTTGCCCATTTCCAAGAATCTCTGTCTGTCCAAACACATCTAGCAGATTGGCCATGCTGTAGATTCTGTTAGCCAAAGAGTATCGGCTGGCAGGGCCGAGAAGATGGGCTTTTTCTTCAGTGGCCCCTGCTTTGTGGAACATCTCTTGGGAGATTAGAATGGCTCAACCCTGCTAGCCTTTCTTAAGATCATAAAACCTGGCTACATTCCTGAGTCTGGGGTGCTGAATGTGTTAAGGGCTCAGTGTCCTAGCTGTATTGCTAATTAACCAAATATCTCTGCTGCTATGTATATTTATTTTGGATGTTTCCATTGTTTTTATTCTTTTAAAATGTTTTTAGTATTGTATTTTTTTTTTAAATTGTAAGATGCCCAGAGTCTTTGACTGAGGTGGGTGGCTATAGAAATTGAATAAATAGATGATAGATAGATAGATAGATAGATAGATAGATGATAGATAGATAGATAGATAGATAGATAGATAGATAGATAGATAGATAGATGATAGATAGATAGATAGATAGATAGATAGATAGATAGTTGTAGATATATAGATACATAGATATAGATATATAGATATAGATATAGATATAGAGACAGAGAGACACAGAGACAGAGAGACAGACACACACACACACACACACACACACACACACAGACAGAGAAACCCATAATTAAGAATGGGCTTATTATAGTAAAATCAAATTAAATGCATAGTGATTCAAGTTAATTACACAGTACTACAATATCCAGTTCACTACAAATTCGACTTAAGGATAGAATTTGGGAATAGAACTTGTTCTTAAACTGGGGACTACTTGTGCCTTAGAACAACTTTTTCTCTCATCTTGAAGTAAATAATACTTTATTGGTAGTTTGTTGCTCCAATTGACCCAGATTCACCTATGTGGGAGCACTTGGTAAAATTACCATGCAGTTTAAGTCAATGTGAGAAATGGAATCTTGTCCAACACTGTTCATTTTTTACTTTTTCAGAAATTAAGATTGTATCCTACGTCACATTTCTACAAGAAAATAGAATATGTGGCAGAATAATATTGTTCAGAGAAATTAATATCGTAATATTCTCACTTCTGATAAAGAAATAAAGCATCACATTCTTGTCAGCAGAAACAGATGCTTGAAAGAAATTACTAATGCAGTTACCACCAGAAGCTAGAATAGTACCTGTGTAACTGCCACAGTTGTCTTGCAAGCAAGTATTTTAGATTCCTACCAGTATCAAGAAATGAAGTTGCAACCAGGAAAAAATCTTTTTATTAGTTGGATGGGAGACAAACCGGAAATCCCAAAGTAGTAGACTGGACTAGGATGTCTAAAATACTTCCCAGAAGAAGTAAGGAATCATAATCCATAATAGTTGCCAAGAAAATGCTGACACAATCAGGATGTGTTCAAGCCATTGTAGAATTACTAGGTTATCTTGAGAATCTTTATTTTGTGATTTGTAGATGTTGTGGTACATTTCAAAACATTTTGTGGTACAAAAGTGGAAACAAAAGCATCAGTCTAAATACTACTCTATGGATATTCTTCATGGAACCAGGGCCAATAGAGGATTTAATATTAAAAAAAAACCTTAGTGAAACAGAGTATTAATATTGATTTGATGAAAGAGGTTACTAATTATTAAATGTCACTTCTACAGAGAATTTTAAATGAAGTCCCAATTCAAAAATGTTCTTCTTCAACTACCCATCTGGTTTTCTTTGCAGCCCAGCTTTTCCTATGAGTCAGAAACAGCCCCGTTATCTCTCTTGTAACCTGAAAGCAGCAGTTGGGAAATAAATTCCAGTAATTTTATCGGCGTGCCATTGTTCAGCAAGCACTTTTGAGAGGTGAAACAAAATATTTTCTCAGTTAGTTGGCCTCCAGATTAGGATGAGCTTTTATGTGTGAGTGTGTGTCATTTCCTGCGCTCCCAGGGTGCTTACAAGGTCAGCTCTTCAGCTGTGTGCAGTTCTCTACAGAAGACTGAAATACTTGTAAACAGCATTGCTGGGACTATCCATTCTTTTTCATAGTTTCCTTAGAATGACATTGGAAGAGGAAACAGGATATATTATTAGCCGTGGCAAAGAAGCATCAGAAAGTCCCATGACAATGGCAAAGTCTATTCTGTGGAGGAGCCATGCAGTTTGGCTTAACCGGCCACAATAAGATACTATTTTTCAAGCAGAAAGAGATTTGCAAAGCATACATGTTCCCAGATGGAATCTCAGTATATGTCAGTCAGTTGAAAAAAATAATCAGTGGGTTAAATAAGTTTGAGCATAAAGAAGAATACCCCCTCATACAACATCCAGCAGAGAAGCCAAAGTCAGAAATCACAAAGAAAAGTTTTTCTCCAGCCACATCTTAATATGAGCATCATCTATTCCTGTCAGAATTTGCCTAATCAATTATTAGATCTAGCAGGAAGAAACTGCTGTATTTTGGGAAGGTTTGGAGGGTTAAGGCACTGCCTAGCACTGCTTCTCTGTAGTAATGCCAGTGTTGTGGAATATATTGTCTATCCTGATCTATAATCTGTATTAATGGCAGATATGGGATTTTATTCTAACAAGAACTGATAAACACTCTTCCCTACAGGTAGTCAACTTACGGCCACGATTGAGCCCAACATTTCTGTTGTCAAGTCAGACATTTGTTAAGTGAGTTTTGCCCCATTTTACAACCTTTCTTGTCCCAATTGTTAAGTGAATCACTACTGTTGATTAGTTAGTAACCCAGTTGTTAAGTGAAACTGACTTTCCCATTAACTTTGCTTGTCAGAAGGTTGCAGAAGGAGATCACATAACCTTGGGACACAGTAATGGTCATAAATAGGAATCAGTTGCTGAATTTTGATCACATGATCGTGGGGATGTGTTGTAGTTAGCCGGCAGCAGGTGCAGATGGCTGAGGAGAGCGAGGACTCAGATGAGGGGCCAGGACCATTAGGGAGTGGACTGCTGCCTTCAGAGATTGTGGGGGCTGGCAGCAGTGATGAGGAGGTTCCCGAGGAGCCTGTGTTTAGTGCACGCGCGCACAGAATTGCTTGTAGGAAAGAGCAGCTACAACAGCACAGGTGACTCGGGAGTAAGGCTGCCCCTCCTTCAAGAAGATAAAAGCCAGCTGTGAAAGGAACGTACTTTGCAGAAGGCAAAGACGTTTTGAAACTCCAGCCTCATGGATATTCCAGTATCCTGAATTTGTATTTGAAGATTCTTGTATTGCAAATTATTTCTTGTCTGTTATCTTTTGGTAAGTCTTGCACAGTTTGGCAAGGCTTGTGCTTATCACAGCTAATTATTTTGTAAAAGCATTACAAGCTTTCTGTTCTTTTTGAATTGTATTTGATTTGTTGAAAAAAGGGCATGGGTCAGAACAGGATGCTGCAAAGTTGTAACCATGAAAAATGGACATAAGTCACTTTTATTAGTGCCGTTATAACTTTGAACAGTCAGTAAATGAACTGTTGTAAGCATAGCCCAGCATTTAAATACGGTAGGTTTCTCGAAGGATAACTGAGACTAAGTTCTTCATAAGAGGGAGATTGGATTTCATTGAAACTGTCTTACATGCATCACTGTTTCAAAGATTTTCAAAATATATTTAAAGATGATCAGAGGGACTCAAATGGGTATTTTTTTTCAAGGCGACTTAGCCATGTACCTACTTGTATTATTTTTTTAGAATGAGAAATCAAATGTGATTTACTGGACCAGTTTAGGCTGGCATAAATTGCTACTAACATTCCTGTTACACAGACCTTTTTTCCCCACTTCTGCACAAATAAAAGAGCTGCTAGGGAGTTTCCTACAGCACCGGTCAGAATCCAATCAACTGAACAGTTCAACAAAAGTCACACAAACCATCTATAATTTGGAAACAGAGTGAAAGGCAGGCTCATTAATTCCATCTCCTGCTGGCCATAAATAACCACACGCATTTCCCACTTCTGAGCATTATATAACAACAACAACAACAACAACAAAAAAGAAAAAATTATAAAGAGGAATTGTGCCATTCAGCCAGTGTCTTTCTCTTCTCCTCAGTAAGAAAGGCTTTAGTTCCACAGATCTGTTTCAGCAGACCTCAATTATTTGCACCGCATTCCTTTCCCAGTTCTGCAGCCACACAAGAGCCAATGCCTGAGTTACACACAAGTCAGCTATGAAGATAAGACGGGTGCAGAATAACCAGGGGCTGCAATTCTCTAGTAAAAGAATTAAAAAGAAGAAAACAAAATAGCTATTGTTTTGGTGTGAATTCAAGACAGGAGATCTATCTTTCAAGGGCCCAATCAATTCACCTGAGACAATGTCCCAGCAATGCCCTTTCACCTCTGCCCTGCTGACATGAAGAGCGGGGATTGTGAATTCTAGCATTCCTCCTACTGAAAGATTTGGGATCCATTCAGGGCCAGATCAAGGCATTTTACTGCTTGAGCTGAAAGACACGATAGCGCCTCCTTTCCCATTCAATTGTCCATCTGGTCAGCTCTTCCATCATGCCAACAACTGGTTTATGAGACCTTTCAACACACAAATAACTTTGTTCTCCAAGAGAAAGGAATGGTCTGGGCCATGATGTAATGGTGTTTGGGAATGACCTTGGAAGACCGGGGCGGGGGGGGGGGGGACAGCCAGGGTAATGGTTGGATAGGGGACAACATAACCCACATCAGGAATGTGGGCATAGCAAACATCTCAAAAGGGAACCTCCCTACTTTCTTGGTTTGTAAAGGTATCCGGAAGAAATGTACCTTCTAACCTGCAAGATTCTTTAATAAATCAGAACTTGTTCGTCTGGTTGTGCTTCCTGTCCTGTCTATCTCACAAGACTGACACAAACCTGGACTTCAAAAATCCAGAAGACCATTAGACCCCAAAGTCAGTGTTTTATATATCTTTTTTTTCCTGCCACCCTAGAGGTCCTCTCAGTTTTTGCAGACCAAACCACGTTACCTCTAAGAATGGACAGTCAATAGGCAGGCAGTGTTTGGAGTGCTTCTGCTCTAGTGCTTCTGCACTCTATTTAAGGAATCATCTGGTTCTGCTTGCATCCACAGTTCTGTTGAAAAAGAGCAGCATACCAGAAATTTTTGTGGAAAAAATATTTCCACAAAACAAAACAGAAACATTAAAATTTCCAGTAGCTTTAATGCATCTGTGAAAGCAAACTTCTCAGAACCTCCTTACTCAGGGGGAAAAAATGGGTGGAAACCTCTTGTTTCATTGCTTTGCCTTCCATCCAACTTCATCCCTTAACGAAAACAAATTAAAAGGAGTGGAAGTAGAATCATTCCTGACCCAGGAGGTTTCTCCCCATCAAAACATCGCTAAGAACTGATCAGAAATCTGGATGCAAAACTACAGAGTGAAGCAGGTTTCAAAGCATCCTACCTTTGATTAGGATTGTGTTATATTTGTTCTGGACAACTCCTAGCCAAGGTGTGGTTAAAAACATTTTCTCTCTTTGTTCCTCACTTAAAGCAGGTGGTATTCAATGTATTAGATTGTTGCCTAATTTTGTTTTCTATTACAGCAGGACTGTCAAACTTGCGGCCCGCAGACTGGATACGTCACGCACTGGCCACGCCCATGCCCAGTTTAGTGAAGGGGGAAAAAGTCCCGCTACGTCATGTGACGATGCCATAATGATGCGAGTTTGACACCTCTGTATTACCGTATTATGCTTTAAGTTCTATTTGTTAGCAAAAATATTGTTGGATCCAAACAGTGGGAAAAAGCTGTAAATACCTGAACCCTTATAACACAGAAGCTTCCCATTTTTCAGAAGCTCGTCAACTCACTTGTTCAGGTCGCACTACGGCATTAATTAGGTGGTAGACCACGGTATCAGGAAGGCCTGCATCTTCAAGCAGAAACTTCGTTAAATTCTCTCTGTCTTTTAAGATATCCTGGATTCGTATTCCTCTTCCTAAGCAAAAAAAATAGTAAGAAAAATAGTAAAAAAAAATTGTAAGGAAAATATTTAAAAAAAATAGTAAGAAAAATAGTAAAAAAAAATAGTAAGAAAAAAATAGTAAGAAAAAATAGTTAGGCGTTGGTAGAGCAAAATCTATTTTTAAGCAAACCACAACGTCACACAAATTCACTTGCTCCTCATCCCATTCCTAGCTTTATGAAAGATGAAGTTAATGTCACTGGGCTATCTAACAGGATTGTGAATTGTCTGAGGAATGTGAAATTATGTATGAGAAAATCTTTCAACTCTATTTTAAAAAAACATTATAAATACAAAAAAAGTGATTCGACCTACACCAGCATTATATACATAACAATGAGAAACCACAGCTGTGTGTTGTTTAGCTGGTATTGACCTTCATGTGCATTGAGTTCTTTCCAAGAACCTAGGATGTCATAATGTATTGGTGTAGTATATGTGTGGATTCAAGCTGTGGGGCCTTTTGTAATTTACAGATGGACATTTTGTCAATGTGCTGATTTTCTAAGTGCCGTCCAATATTTTTTGGTATGGTATATTTGGTATGTCACATTAAAAAACCTTGATGAGGACTTAGAACAGTGTAGACAGAGCATAAGGATAAAGAATTAGCCTTTTCAAATCTGATGTATTGATCTATTGTTGCAAGAATTCCAAGCTGCGATAAAAACATAATTGAAGATACCAGAATGAGGAATACCAAGTGGCCCGTAGCAATAGCTCCAGAAACATATGAGTTATATATGAAGATTATTATATGTTATTGATGTGCAGTAAATCCCTTAGCAAAAGGTATTTATGGGCTATATAAAGAAGCAATAAAAGGCCAAAGGTAGCTGGAGTTTAATACAGGTAGTCCTCGATTTACAACAGTTCATTTAGTGACCATTCAAAGTTACAATTGCACTGAAAAAAAGTGACTTATGAATGTTGTCCACATTTATGACCATTGCAGCACCCCCCCGATCACGTGATCAAATTTCAGATGCTTGGCAATTGACTCATATTTATATATGGTTGCAACGTCCAGGGGTCTGACAAGCAAAGTCAATGGGAAATCCAGATTCACTTAACAGCAGTGTTACTAACTTGACAACTGTGACAAGAAAGGTCATCAAACGGGGCAAAATTCATTTAACAAACATCTCACTTAGCCACAAAAATGTGGGGCTCAATTATGATCGTAAGTCGAAGACTACCTGCAATGGAACATTCCAGAGGTTTGGGAAACACTCTTCAAAAAGAATTCCCTTCATTTAACAAGCAAGCAGCATTGAAGGCTTCAAGGACAATATCTGAATGCGAAATGACAGTTGTATTGCACATTACACAAGAAGCTTGGCATTTGGAACACAACTTATTTATTTTTCTGCACGCTGAAAAGAGTTGGCATGCTCAAAAGATGCAGACCAGAGATTTCAAAGGATGACCCAAAAGTTTCAAAGGCCTGGTGCTGTGAACTTCAAAGCTCAAGTGTTTTGTTGTTCCTGGTTACTGGGCCAGGGTGGGTGGGTTTCAGCTACTTAAGAATAAATAGTTCTGGAATCTCTTTCTCCAGTTTATTTGCCCAAAGAAAGTTGCAGTCACTTTAGATCCTGCCTTGTAGGGAGCCTTGAATCCTTCCAATTAGTTTCTCATGACCAAAGCTAGATTAATCATTATGCTAAATAAAGTAGATCTCTCATTAATCAAATGGAAGCGCCTGCTGTGGCTTAATTATTTGAAGTTTCCCTCTGTTTGTTCCTTTGAATAACTTAACCACAATTCAAAACTTAACCACTGCTTAACCACTGGGGAAAAAGAAATGTCCTTAAACTCATATAGAAGGTGATGACTGATAAGAAGCCATTCGTTTTCATCATTTGCCAGTGGCAAAGCTGACTGATTGCTATCATAAATTAAACATTACAGACCAAACAATTCTTATTCCTATATTCCAGTATTTCCCCGCGTTTAAAGTTGACATTACAAGAAGCATCACTTAATTCTGAGAGTAGCCCTGGTTTTTAGCTTTAAATTCCCTTTACCTCTTCATCTAAATGAAACAGTGGTTGTAGGTAGCCTCACAGAGGGCTAAGTTTGGTTTTAAACAGGCCAAATTTAATTATATCCCCATGCATTTTTAGAAATCTTCCAGAAACCTTGGGTTGCTTGTATGTTGGAGATATTTAAAGTATTTTCTTTTTTTCCCCTTTTGATATGGATCCATTTGTTTTGTTGCCAGCAGTCAACCTACCTGGTATGATTTTAGTTCTCAAGGGAGTTTTCCTCTCCTGTTTAATGTAATTCTCTGGTATTTGGGAGGGGCTGGGGGGGGGGCAGGAAAGAGAACAGAATTGACAGTTACCTGTAATCTTTTCAGGGTTGGTCCTCATTGTTTCCATAAACTGGGTCATGGTTCGTAGTTCTTCCCAGAATCTACCCAAGTCTCTTTCGTTGATTTCAAGCAATACCTCTTGAATGTCTTGATATACTCTTGCTAAACTGAAATGGACAATAGTAGAAAATTGCTTAAGACTATTCCCCATAGCTATCTTGTAGAAATCAGCCATTTTGCAGAGCACTGGGAGAATAAGGCTAAGGTAAAATTTGTTTTTTCCCCCTCCATATTTGCTTTTTGGAACTCATTGAAAATTCCTATTTATTTATATTTCATATTTCTAAACCACCCTTCTCCTTCAGTCAGTTTGCTCTCTGTTCATAAGTGGTGGCTTGTCCTATCTGTGTTAGTGGCAGTGTTCTTAGTGGTTAGATTAGATTAGTGGTTGGTTAGATTATTGTTTGGTGCATTTCTTAATAAGAATGAAAGAGAAATGAAGAAAAGGTTAGTAAGAAGCAAATAGAGGAATTTCATTGTAAATGGTTAAAAAACAAAACAAAATTAACACATTGAAATAGATGAAATGGACATGCTAAAGTCTGGAAATCAATGAACAAATAAATAATATTGGATATTATCTATTTAAATAATATTTAGATGAAGGACAGATCTTACATGGATGTCAGACTGCCACAGGTGAATCTTTTCTCCTCCTGCCTAAAAGACAAGGAGATCCTTTACTTACTTACATGGAATTATTATAGTTGGAGACGACACCTGGAGATTCTCCACGGGTGGGGCTTTTGAAACATGGGTTGTTCATGTTACAAAAGATGCCCTGTAACCACGGCAGAGTTCCTGCAGAAGGCATGGCTTTATTTGGAAAGTGACCTTCATATAAGAAACAAACACATGACATGAAACAGTAGCATTGAGAATCAAAGCCACTTGCAGTGAAAGTATTTTATTTATACAAACAATTTTTGCTTTGGGAGGGGGTGGGGATAAGATATAAACATATTCAATTTGACTGAAACTTAAATTTGACTTAGATATACATGGTGTAACATTTCAGTTACGAAGAATTTGAATACAGAAGTTAAATCTGTAACTAAATTGCTGACATAAACTCAGATGGCTAGAAATGGCTCAGCTTTTGGATGGGGTTGGAGTATTGACTGTTTACCTCTTCTCTTACAAGAGCCCAGCAAGCAAATCCATAAGTGGGGATGAGTGTAGATGCTGTTGAATAACTTTGTTTTTTCGGGACAAGATTTCTCACTACCCATTCACCAGTACCCCATGTAAACTTCAACATCTTGTGCGCTATCTCCCATTCAGGTATACCTCGTCTTACGACCATCACTGAGCCCAAAATTTCTGTTGCCAAGCGAGATAGTTCCTAGGTGAGTTTTGCCCCATTTTATGACTTTTCTTGCCACAGTTGTTAACTGCAATTGTTAAGTTAGCAACATGTTTCTTAAATGACTCTGGCTTCCCCATTGATTTTGCTTCTCCAAAGGTCACAACACGTGATCACATGACCCTGGAATATGACAATGTGACCATGGGGATGCTGCAAGAGTCATAAGTATGAAAAACAGTCATAAGTCACTTTTTTTAGTGCCATTGTAACTTCAGAGAGTCACTAACAGAGGTGGTATTCAGCAGGTTCTGACCAGTTCTAGAGAACCGGTAGCAGAAATTTTGAGTAGTTCGGAGAACCGGCAAATACCGCCTCTGACTGGACATTTTACATTATCCTTCCCATGCCATGCCCACCAAGCCACGCCCACAGAACCGGTAGTAAAAAAAATTGAATCCCACCACTGGTCACTAAGCAAATGATTGTAAGTCAAGGACTACCTGTATTAGAGCTGCAAAAAAAAAAAAATACAGGATACCACTAGACAGGATCAAAGAGATATTTAAATTCTTTGTTGTACTCTGGTGATCATTTAATTTTAGAGTTTTGCAGTTCAGATATGATAATTCTAATTTGTAAATTCTTTAGACTGCATCATGTGGGGTCCTTGGTGCCCTCTGAGCATGGTTGTTTTGTTGCAGGTGTTTCATTACCAAACTATGATGTAATAGCATCATCAAGAATATATCATTCACGCTTCTCTACTCCAACTGATAGCAGTTATGCAACCATGGACTGAGAGAAGTCTGTCTGATGCAGACATGCTGACCTGCTTTCATTTCATCATCACTGCTGAGCAAGTGGTTTTATTCCTTGTATTTTTTTACTATAATAAGAGAGTTCGACTGTACATACATGAAGCTATACTATTATCTTTATTTTATTGCATTTATATTTGGAACACAAAAAAGTATAGGTGGTGCTTCCTCCAATTTTTCCTCATAACAACAAATGTGTGAATTAGATTGGACTGAGAGATAGTAACTGTCCCAAAGTTATCCCATGAGGGTGGACTAGAACCCATATGTCCCTTACATTGGACCTCAGTTATTTTATTTTAATCATGTTATCACTATAACAAGCCTGTGAGGAACGCTGGGTTTAACTGCAACAGAAGAATAGCAGTCTAATGTCTTTCTAGCCATTTCTTTGTAACTGCTGCTTTTTCAGCTAAAAGTTTTTTTTTCTTCAGTGTGCATTGCAAACACAAGGGCATGCATATACATGTATTAGGGGACTGGTGGTGGGTGGGATGATTTTTTGGGCTTTCCATAACCTAGAGGAGCTGCAAGAGGGACATTTCTGCAGCAATATAGCTTTTGCACTTCTCTGTTTATCAGTTGCAGAAAGAGCACAGATTGAGACTTCTAGTTTTCTGTATCTTGTTCTCTGCATTGTGAAGAAAACAGAAAGTTAAGGTAAGCTTCAAATGGACTTGGGAAGAAGTGAGGAGTGAACCATGGCATGGCCAAGTTAAGGCCGGAAGTAAAGTATGATCTAAATCGGGAATATCTTTATGTTAGCATCTTCATGAATCCCCCAAGCAGCAACAAATCAAGCAGGGAAATGCTTTCTGGATGATGTCATCTCATATCCTTTTTCCATCTGGAGAGTCAAGGGCTGGTCAACCCTTGATTTCCCTTTCCCCTCAAATTTAAATTTGAGATTGAGAATAGCAGAAGCATTGACCTTCTACTTCCTTCTTAACTGACAGTACCAGATTCTGTTCGGTAGTAGTAGTAGTAAAGTAGAAAGAAACCAAACATCCTCTGAATACCCAGTTACTTTTGATTTGATTTAAATTTCACCAAGGAGGAGCCTATCCTTCCTTTAAAAAATGAATATAAATAATGTACTCTTACATTCATGTTTGTGGTAGACTGGAGTAACTTTCCTCAGCCATACTAAGACAAGAAATAAAGAAACCGGCCATAGAAGTTCAACCAGCAGACGAAGCTGAAAAGAAAAGGGGGAAAAAAACACAAATTAGATGCATCAATTCCATACGCTGTTTTAGAAATGGCATTCATTCCATCTGACTAAGGTTTAGATCATCCACCAAAAGGAAGACATGTCCAGCTTTTTGTTCTCATGTTCTCTGTCTGGAAAACATAGCCTTAAAATCAAATATTGGCTGGCTTTTTAAGTATCTTATTTGGTGTTTTATTTTGGACTGTTTTTATAATGTCAGTCATTTAAGCTTTCATGTTTTCAATGCTAAAATCCTACACATTTCCAAATAAGTATGTGTAGGACAATGATGGCGAACCTCTTGGGCGTGGCATGTCAAAAATTCAGAAAATGTCTAACTTGACTCTACTAGTATATTACCCCCCACAAAAGAAACAATTCTCTATTTCTCTCCCCTCTCCCAATTTAGGCTGAACAGTGGCACTCAGAGGCAGTGGCAAGGCTGGGCCTAAAGTAGAAAGCTGGACCTTAACTTCGGCCCTACTGCCACCACGCTGCCACTCAAAAAGGCCACCTTCCACCATTCCCCAAAATACGCAAGCTATGAGGAATGGCGCTATTGCCCTCATGGCCCAGCACTCCCCAGGATCTGTTGTGCACTTCTTATCTTCAGGCGATGTTCTCTTTCTATTGATCGGCCCTTGAGGCCTACCTGAGGCTGCTTTGGATTGCCTGAGGCCTTCGTTCTTGAAGTGACTTCAGAGAATGCTCTTTTGCAACTTCTGCAGCCTCCAAAAACCATGTGAAAGCACTGCCCATTCTTCCACCATTTTCAGAGGCTCCAGAGGCCTTGCAAGAGCGTGACCCTCTCACATGATTTCTGGAGGATACGGAGGCTGCCCATTCCTCATTCTTGCAGGGCTTCCACAGCCTCGGAAAATTGTGCACGCTTTCAAGAATAGCGACAGTTGTGTGTGGGTGAATGCTGGCATGTCACCCAAAATGTTATGGCATGTCACCTTTGACTTGTGTCGTAATCTGACCATCATTGGCAAAGCACCAAGTTGGGCATTCAGGGCATTTATTCTCCAATAACCATGAAGTTGAAGACAGTGACAATAAGCATGCATAGGATGGCACTATTTATGTTTGGTTCCTTCAGCATTCTGTGTTCCAGAGTTGAAAATAACAATCTCGTATTTTAAAATGTTCTGCCGTTAATTTTCAGAGTAGGGTGGCTTATTACATTTGACTTAAAGGAAACCTAAGAAAGAGCATTAACATTGGCCTCAGGCTTTAATTTTCTCCACCCAACCCTTTAAAAAGCTTCTGGGTGTTTGGACTGTGGGACGGTGGTAGAAATATATGTAGATTGATTGAAAAAGTGGAAATGTCCAGTGTTATGTATTAGATAGATAGATAGATAGATAGATAGATAGAT